TCTAGCAGGCCACTGCTCCGTCATTCAAAATTGCATCAGACTCAAATTAGTAATTTTGCAAGAGGAGGGAACACTGCGAAAGATAAAGGGAAAAGAGTTGACAATTATTTCACGTGCCCCGATTTTTTCTTGTTAGTAAGTAATTTTTATTTGAGACTTGTTAAATGTGTAAGAGTATTATTTTGATTTGTGCTTCAAGTAGGAAACTATTTAATCGCTCTCTAGTACATTATTTTTAAAATTTTAAGTCTTTAAATTTATATGTTGTCTTTTATTGATAATAAAATATGCAATCATTATTTTTTTATACATGATTATTATTTGATGTGTTGTTGTTGGTCTTGATTTGCATTTTATAATGTATATATTTATATAATTCTTTGTAATAATGAAAACAATCTGAATAATAGTTCAAAGCGAACCGCGATCCAAAATAGCGTATCAGCTAAGCCTACCCCCACCACACCATGTACCGCAAAAAGTAATGTACTCTGCACCTGTACCCATACCACGTACCCAATCAACCCACGATCCAGGTAACCCTGACACAAGTNTGGGAAAGTCTACTGTTAAATATTTCTTGAATTATACACATGCTTTGGCTATGTTTAGAGCTCAGTCTAAATTGGAGCTATTAAAAGTGGCTAAGACCAGGTTTGCATCGTATTATATTTTGTTGAAGCGACTTGTTGACTGTAGAGAGTTCCTTGCAATTACCATTATTCTCAAGTCATGGAAAGAATTGGTGAAATCTGGGGATGAACACACAAGGAAGTTAGGTGCTTTGGTTACGGAAACCGTTATTAGTGAAGAATTTTGGCAGGATGTANGCACTCTCAATAGAATTTATGTGCAGCACAATCGGAACGAGAATACCCTAAAGTGTACAACCTCTCATAGTTTATTTGAATAAAATAAAGCAAGTAAATGAGTCAGTTTGATGTTTATCTTCCATACTTACATAGCTGCTTCATTGTGATTTGGACTTTATGGGTACTAGTCACGGAAACAACCTTTTTGCATGCGGGTAAGGCTACATCAATGTTACTCTGACTAAACACCATAATGGTGAAAGTATCGANGGAAACAACCTTTTTGCATGCGGGTAAGGCTACATCAATGTTACTCTGACTAAACACTACAATGGTGAAAGTATCGTNACTAGTCACGGAAACAACCTTTTTGCATGCGGGTAAGGCTACATCAATGTTACTCTGACTAAACACCATAATGGTGAAAGTATCGAGCTCTTTTTTTCCATGTATTATATGCATGTAACGAATCTACATATATGGTGCTGTGTGTTTGTTGTAACTAAGTATTACTTTTCTATGATTTACCGTCTTCATTCCATATTGTTGTAGGATTCTATGCCACTTAGTTTATTCAGGATGACTTTATTTTTGGAATTAATAGTTTGGTGGGATGCTAGAATCATGTCACAAGAGTGGGCTGGACAGTAATTTTCTGAGTATTGCCACTAGAGGGAGCGGTAATTGGGTAGGGAATGGCATAGGGTTATAGACTTGGAAGCACAGATATTCGGTGGGGTTCGCCGTGACATTGTCGAACACTTGTTCGGCATGGACACGCGTGGAACAAGGTCGAACACGTGTTCGACATGTCTAGAAGTANCACTAGAGGGAGCGGTAATTGGGTAGGGAATGGCATAGGGTTATAGACTTGGAAGCAGGTGGGGTTCGCCGTGACATTGTCGAACACTTGTTCGGCATGGACACGCGTGGAACAAGGTCGGACACGTGTTCGACACGTCTAAAAGTGTCATGCACAATAAATTTAATTTTTTTTAGTCTAGAAATGTCCTGCACAATAAATTTAATTTTTTTTAGCCCGAAACTTGGGGATATTCTAGCGGAATATAGCGGGTTATTTTTATTATTTTAAAAATTTAGGGGGTTAAAAAAAAAAATATATATATATATATATAGCGACGTTGTTTTTGGCCTTGAAAGAAGAAAAGACAAAAGCAAAGCCTGAAGGATCTGCTTTGGCCCTTAAACAAGAAGGAGAAGAGGAGGCGAAGAAGGAGAAGGTAGAGGAAGACCAACCTGCTACTGCTGCCCGTGACTGTTTGCCTGCGACTGCTGTTACCACTTACCAGGTTCCTCTTCTTCCTCTTCTTTTTTGTTACCTAAGATCTTTTTTTCTTACTTCTGTTTTGTGGGGGCTTTCAAAAATTTGATTGGATTAGGGATTTAGGTAGGGTTTTCAAAATTTGGGGATATTTTGGGGTTTTTTTTTTTCCTTTGATACTGTGCAATTGATTCCGAAAACTGCTTACTTTTTCTGTCTTAATGTTGTGTTGCTGCCTTTTGGGTTTTTTTTTTTTTTTGCTGGTTTTCAAATTCCAAAAATATCTAGGCTGCTGCATTTTTTTTTTGGGGGTCTGGTGCTGCTGGTTTTCAAAATCTGGATTCTGTAATTCTATCTTCCACTCTTCCTGCTGTGTTTTTTTTGGATTGTTATTAATGGATTGTTATTATTGATGTTGTTATCTATATATATATATATATATATATCATATCTCCGTGTCCGTATCATTTCGGATATGACACCAGTGTCCGTATCCGTGCTTCTTAGGTTATAGTGGTGGGATTATACACCGAAAAAACTAGAAAACCCAAAGATATGATCGCCTGGTCGTTGATAGGTTGGGAAAATCTGCTTGAAGTAATAAAACAGAAGAAGAAAAAGAAATAGTTTAGTCAAAGGCGTCACACCTAGGATGATTCTATTGCCATTATAGCTTTTAGAAGTGCATCACACTAGAACAAAACAGCACCAGAAGCTTTTGAAGATCCTCTGGATTTGCTCTTCATTGAATATAAGGAATTGCTAAGAAGTACGGACACGGATTGGACATGCAAATATGACATTTCTCAAAAAAATAGGACACGGACACGTTGGGGATACATTATAAAAAATTATATTTTATATATAACATTATTATAATTTATCGCAAATATAGTGATAATGATAAACAATTCATAAATATTCAATATTTTATGATAAGTAAATCTTTTGTGCAATCATCTGTGTAAATTTTTAAGCTAAAATATCATCATAATAGTCAATAATTATCAATTTTTTTTTTGTAGACAATATGTACCTAATATATAATTTAAATAATTGCTCTCATTTTCTCAGTTTTTTTTTTTTTTNACAATTCATAAATATTCAATATTTTATGATAAGTAAATCTTTTGTGCAATCATCTGTATACATTTTTAAGCTAAAATATCATCATAATAGTCAATAATTATCAATTTTTTTTTTTGTAGACAATATGTACCTAATATATAATTTAAATAATTGCTCTCATTTTCTCAGTTCTTTTTTTTTTTTAAATTTTATGCTTTTATTTTTATTATTATATTTGGACTACAATTTTAACATATCTAGTATTAGTAATTTTATGTTCTCAAAATTTTAAACTTTATTAATCACATTTCAATACATGCCTATTGTTTAGTAGTATAAACATTCTAAAGAAGTATTAGACACGTCACCAAAGAAGTGTCAGACACGTGTCTAAAATTAAAAAAAAAATTATTTATTTATAAATACGGATAAAAGAGTATTGGACACGTGTCCGAGAGTGTCCAAAGAGTGTTGGTGTCCGACATGTATCCGACACGGATATGTCACCTTCTCGAGAGTGTCCGTGTTTCATAGAGGAATTGCAGTGCTCTATATGGACTTCTTGCTGATTTTATCAAACCTATACTATTGACTAATCAAAGTCCCTCTACAATGATCCAATACCGTAATTTGACTGAAATTAACTGACCACGAACTACTATTGTAGCTGATGCTCACTAATTTGGGAAATTTAAGCTTGACATGCACTGAAAAACTCTAAGGAAACTTGTGTAAGCTTGTACCTGATGCAAAGTAAGTTGAATAAACCACAAAATAAGGCTCTGCTAAGATGACAACTTGCCACAGTGATTCTTTTTGAATTTACTTTTTCTTGAGCTTATGGGCTACATTAAAATTCACTCTAAGGTCCGAGGAAAATGTTGATTAAGAGTGATTTCATAAGAACTCATACGTTCAACACAGCTTGGAAGTGACTGCTGGTGTTGTTGCCATTTCACTCGCATGATCTCGGACATTTAGTCTAGAAGGACCTTAAATTTACTGTACAGGGCTGACTACTCAGCTATAGATGCAACTGCAACTGAACGGGTCATTGTGCATTTTTAACCTCTTATCCTTTTTGCGTAGAAAGTTCTTGTGGGTATTGGTGATTCTTATTTTTTTTTCTTCTGTTATTCAAGTTTACTTATTTCCTTTTACTTGAAGGATCTCTTGTCCCTGCATATGGTTAGATGAGAGGCCATTATAGCTTATGCAGAAAGCATTGGAGAATGATATTGTAAATTAGTTTTCTTTTAGTAACTATGTTTCGTGTACAAGCNGGCCATTATAGCTTATGCAGAAAGCATCGGAGAATGATATTGTAAATTAGTTTTCTTTTAGTAACTATGTTTCGTGTACAAGCTGTGGCTCCAGATAGACAATTTGGGTAGCTTTTCTTATGATGTCTATCATAAGTTTATGGAACAGCCAAATAGAACATTATTAGGATAGATGGATGGTTGAAACGGCAGAATCAACTCTTTATTCAACAAATGCAATGTCTCTTGCTGCCCCATATTTTCAGCATTTATTTTTTTAGGTCAAGGTAAGATTGCATATACCCTCCCCAGTCCCAGACTGGAGACTTGTGCACTGGGCCGCCCATAATATCTTTTTAAGTTCACTTAATGGCCATACTGGATGATTTTGACCATGTAGTACTGGATGCTGCCATTTCAAGCATTCATTATGGTAGTGTTTTTATAAGGTGATTTGCCCTTCTACTGTTTTGAGTAATGGATTTTATCTGATTGTTTTTTGTTATTCGCTTAGGTACATTAGAGGTTTTCCTATAGCTGCAGTTTCCTTCGTTTGCTGCATTATCTGGAAGCTTGATGGATCGGCAGGCTCATGACTATGCAGCTGCTATGGCATTTTCCCAACAACAGCAACAAGCTGCTAATATCCAACAGCAGCAACAGTTTGGTTTTCATCCACCACAACAGCAATTCCCTCCATCAGTTCCTGGTCCTTTTCTACCCCCACATCCCTCTCTACAGCAGTTCCCATTCCATCGTTCGATGCAGCAGCCACAACTCCATCCACTTCCTCCTCCCCATCCCCACCTTCTTCATCTCCAGCAGCAACAGCAGCCTCCGCCTGCTTTTCCTCCTCATTTACCCCCTCACGCTGTTCCTCCACCTTTCCATGGCCCGTATGATTCCACGCCGCCCCCTGCTGCTCCTCCCCATGATCCTGAACTTCAAAAGCGTATTGATAAACTTGCTGAGTATGTTGCCAAGAATGGCCCTGAATTTGAAGCCATGGTACGTGAAAAAGAGCAAGACAATCCTGGGTATGGTTTCCTCTTTGGTGGTGACGGGCATAATTACTACCGCTACAAGCTTTGGTTATGTACACGCGCCCCTGGTGGCTCCTTCAATCCTGCTTTCCCCTCCTCTTCAATACCTTTGATGCATCATCCTCCCAATCCTATGATAAATCCATCACCTCTAAATGCTTCTCAGTTGAGTTCCTCTGCTGCTGCTGTGATGGGTTCACCTCAAATGCAAACTCCTTTTCCATCGTTCTATGAGCCACAACCCCATCTGCATTCTCAGCCTTTTGCTAGTCATGGTCGACCAGACTTTGACCAGTCAACCAGGTCTTTCAAAGGTCTGTCTAGGCCACTGCCTTCTGATGTTGCGATGGAGCTAAATGATGTGCTCAACAATCTTACTGGTACCAAAGAGTCAATCAAAGGTGCCAAAATTTGGTTCATGCAGAGGTCCCCATTTGCACCAGCTCTGGCTGAGGAGCTCAGAGACAGGGTGTTTGCTCTGGATGATTCCGAGAGACAATTGCATATAATTTACCTGGCCAATGACATTCTATTTGACAGGTAATTTTATAGTGCTCACCATATCCGGAGGAGACATGAATTAAAGTAATGGAGCAAACCCTAATATTGGCTGATAGAATGCGATTATTTTATGCTACCTTCAACATTTTTTCCAATTTTCTTCTCTTTTATTATCTTTCTGCATTTATCAATGACTTGATAGCATCTCTCTCTCTCTCTCTCTCTNACTTTTCTTCTCTTTTATTATCTTTCTGCATTTATCAATGACTTGATAGCATCTCTCTCTCTCTCTCTCCCCATCCCAAAACCCCCCAAAAAACAAAAAATCCAAACCCTAATTTTCAATGGTGAATGTTTCTGCCGCCTGTTCTGATGCTTTATTATTTTTTAATATAATGATTGTGAAAAACAAAATGAGTAAAACACTGGTAAATGCTGTGTATTGTGTNACCCTAATTTTCAATGGTGAATGTTTCTGCCGCCTGTTCTGATGCTTTATTATTTTTTAATAGAATGATTGTGAAAAACAAAATGAGTAAAACACTGGTAAATGCTGTGTATTGTGTGCAATATTCCTTAGAGCTTTGTTCATGAAAACAAGAAATATCTGATGAACCTAATGAAATTTGGGGTCAGAAACTGAATGCCCAAACAGCTAGGAAAATAATTTAAAGATAGGGAATATTACTTGTTACTGTATGGCATCGCATAATTTTGCTTTGTTTGCCCAATACAGGTGCCCCGCATTAACTGGATTTTTTTTATTCTGGCTCTATATATAAATGTTGGGAGATTTCCTTTGCTTAAGCTTTCTTGACAATTTATGCTGTAAAGAGTCTTGGCAGCGTCCTTACTTTAATAATGCCGATGTAATTTGTGCTATTACCTGAGTATATATTTGTTGATTTCTTTTAGATCTTTTTTTCTTGGGTATTTTAACTATTTGTTTTTGATCTTGAATATTGGGGATACTATTTGAAGATCCTTGTACATATGCTTTTTACACACATTCCAAGATACATTTTTCAATACATGTGTACTTCTATATGTACTTTAAGTCTTTAATACATATTTATAGGACCACGTGCATAAGTCTATAGCTATTGCTAAATCTTATGCACTGGCCTAGTTTGGTCCTTTATCTAATAACATGTCCAGATGATCCATGTCACCTTAAAATTAATGAAACAAAATAGTGTGAAATTGACAAAATACAGGGGGTAGATGGTAATAACCTCAATGCATTCACAGAACCAGGAAATCATCACCCCTATCCTTCTCCGACCTTTTCTCTTTTCCCCCCCCTTTTCCCTGTTTCNAATAACCTCAATGCATTCACAGAACCAGGAAATCATCACCCCTATCCTTCTCCGACCTTTTCTCTTTTCCCCCCCCTTTTCCCTGTTTCCACTCCCTCTATCCATTACATATGATCCTCACTCTTTGTTCCTTTATCATTCCATATCCTATCTCTCATCCTAAATATACTGTAGCACATGAAAAGATCTCTCATTCGTGACTTTCTTTAACCAATCATTCATTTTTTTTTACGTATTGAGATGACAATTGATCGATTTATGTTATTGATACTTGTCCAAATAATCATACAAAAACAGTCGGGCAATGCCTCAACGGACATGAAACATTGGCTGATTAATGGGGGTATACATTTTAAGAACTGTAGAGATCAAATTTTTATTACTAGTTGTATGGATTCAGCATATGCTGGTAGTTAATGCCTTGGGCAAGTATAATTTCTTTAGCGGGATTACATTGCTTATCACGTATAATTTTTGAAGCAGGGTTAGGTAGCTGCAATTTAAGCTATGTGCTTGATTAAACACCCACATGCACTTAAAAACTAATTAGATTTTCCTTCCTTTTTCGGTTCACCTGTCTAAAATTTATAGCAGGGTAAAGAAACCAGGAATTGGGCCAAATCTGACAAAAGTCTTCTTCGGTTAGTTTCAATGAGTGGAGTAAAATAGAATTTGCCTAAAAGGAGAAACATGTTTGTGATTTTCTTTGCCTGAAATGTTGCTCATCATTTGTCCTTTACTAAAAGAAAAGAAAAGAAAAGAGCCGGTTGGCAACTTTTCCTCAATGGTTCCACTTGCCAATTGAAATGGTTTTGGTTAGAAAGTGGTGGTAGAAAGCAGAGGCAGGAATCCTGCTGAGAAAGGGCATGGTTTATGTTAATTGCCAATGGAATTTCTGCCGTTGTTGGGTAATATCAATAGAATGGTGGGACATTGTGTGGTCATGCAATGCTAAACCAGGAGGTTGTGAGTTCGAATATGTCGATAGTGTTTTGGTTGAAATAATAGTGGAAGTTATGTATCCTGTAGGTAAGGACGGACATTGTCTTGGTAAAGCTATATATGACTTGATAGCTCTTGACAGGAAAGAGTATGACATACATGAGCTTTTCCTTTGGTACATTCCAAAGTAAGAGGCTGTTACCTGCCTGGTTTAATATCCCAGGGGTTGCTGAATCATGTTATTTTATTTGCATATAAATGAAGTAAATGGTTTTGCTGTTGTTTTTTTTCCTTATAGTTAAATGTCCCACTTAAACTTGTTCTGTTTTCCTTCTAACAGTGTGTGATATTCATCAACCTTCCTAGATTGTGACAATGATTCTAGCATTTGTTTTGAAAGATACTAAAAATTGTTGATTGAGATGGCCATAGATCTAAGCTCTAGCTTGACCTTGGGGGTTCTGTCAATATTGTGAAACTAGTGCATATTTACCAGTCAATTCGTATTGAAATGTGCAGCTTGCAAAGACGGATCAACCCTCATGACCTAGATAACGAGGCACTTGCTTTTAAGCCTGTAATAGGTTCCATGCTTTCGAGGATTTACCACAACCCTCAAAATAAGGAGGAAAATCAGTCACGATTACAAAAGATTTTGCAGTTTTGGGCCTCTAAGGAAGTTTTTGATCAAGATACTATTCTTGGGCTTGAGAATGAGATGATGGGGGGATCAACAACAAACTTATATCTTGTGCCTCCAAGGGACTTATCTGCTGTTTCAGCAGATCATTTGACCATTTCAGGTATCTCTCTCTCTCTCTCTCTCTCACTCTCACACACACACACACACACTCACACAGTGACGGACCTGGGGAAGGATCCAGGGGGGCCATGGCACTAAGAGTAGTGGAAGAAGAAGGTTCATTCCAAGGACAGTGTGTATAATATGTGCTTCTAGTTTTCCATACACTGACTTCGGTCTTGACAGTATCTTTTAAATATTGAGATATCACCATAATAATAATATTCTTCTTTTACTATAATAAAAGGATAAGAATATGGTATCGAATTTAATTTTTCAATATTATACAAAAAAAAAAAGAAAAAAGAATTGCAACTGCAGATTTTAGTGAGTTATTTTTAGCTATTGTAAGAATTATATGGACCAATAAAATAATTAATTTTGCACGTGTCACTTTGTGTTTAGACAAAAAAAGACAGAGTACTCAAAAAGTAACTTTTCGATATACTCTCTCATAATAATATGAGGTTGTCATCTGTTTCGATTTTTTATTTAAATATGCCCTACTAGAAACGCCTACATAAATTGATTAGACTTGTGCCTACACCACTCATTTCACTTTTAGCTAGTTATACTTCTCAGCTCTATTTCAAGTTTCCATTGTGCTTTTTTGGTTATGAGTGTTATCATAACTAAACTTCGAAAATAAAGTTGCTAAAAAATTGGAACAGATCCAAGCATGGGTAAATCATGTGATAGAAAATGATGTCAGATATTATTTCGATGAATGAGTAAGATGAATGACTACTACTGATAGCTGACTAGGAGGATATTTAATAAAAAAAACTATTCATGTGGTTCATTTTCTTTTTCTTTTTTTTTTTCTTTTTTATTCATGGTGTATGTATATTTACTGGTTTGATATATTTTATACAATGCAAATTTGAATTTACCAAGTATAGAGATAGTTCATGTTCTAGGTGTTAGTTTAATTACATAGGCTTTGGCCTCTCTCATGGTAAATCCTAGATTCATCACTACACATACACATGCATGTACACACTCACTCTGATCCACCATGCCGAGACTTATGGAAAGCATAGTTACTCTTCGGGGTAATTGGAAAGATCAAGTTTTATAGGGACAAGTGTCCTCGAGAAATATTGTTTGTTCAATTTAATAAGCTTGTGAGGATCAGCAGTTGGTCTGATGGCCACACCCTGCAGGTTGTTTGAGGGTTCAAACCTTGTTGCCTGCTCCCATTGTAACTCAGACCAGAAAAAAGCCCAATAGGCCTGCATATAGTTGGCTGCCCGGATTTTTTTGCTTTAAATTCTTCGCAATCTTTCTGCTAAAGTTGGATTTATTTTTTATTCATGCAGGACCATCACCCCAGTTGACAAACCATAATACTTTACAGTGGCAGCCTCATAAGCTAAGTTTGGTGCCAAACTTACCAGATCTAGAACATCCTGATAAACAAGTTTCTCCCCTATCAGCCATGCCACCATCAGTAGCAACACAACAATTTCTTCCTAATTCAGTTCCTTCTGGTAGTTTTGTTGGGTCCTTGCCAATCCCATCTTCCGGTCAACAAGCAAATCAACAACCTGCGTCCCATATATTGCCAGGACCGACTGCTAATGTTGGTGAAAAATTACCTCCATATCCTTTGTTTCCACCTGGTCTTATTCCTGGAATGGTCAGAAAAATGCAGATCGGTAGTGGGGTGCCTTACTCTCCCATGAGCCCTTTGGATATCCCTACTGTAATACCACCCTCCAATGTATCTCCATCTGAAATTCTCGAGAGAGTGTCAAAATTCTTTAAAGAGATTGGAGAGGTTAACCCTTCTGAAGGACCCATGAAACCTTCCGAATCAATCGATGAAGATGATGAGTATGAGAGAGAGCCTCCCATTCGCAAGGGAGGAGCTTGCATACCTCCACCGCCTAATTTACAAGTGGACCCTGAGACAGGAACTTTTGCTGATGGAAGTGTAGAACGAAAGCCTGGATCAAGTAGCTCAGGACGGTTGGGACTTGGGGCCACAGCTAATCCAAATGAGGCCAGTCAATATGATGATGTTTATTCTTCTTATAGGAAACAGAGAAGTACCAATTACCATACGTCTATGAGTGCAAGAGCTGCTGCTACAAGGTAAAAACCTGCTGAATGTGTGATCTATTGTAGTCAAAAATTGAAAACTTGGGTTTCTGATGAGGTTAGTTCTTGCATTTCCAGTCGGGCCTTTTCTTTCTGGGCTCTTGAGTGGGAATTATCAGAAATTAAATTTGTGGGATCATCAGTATTATATCTTCATGGTTATTAAGGTCCTGATTTAGATGAATGATTGAATGCCAATCCAGATATGCATTATATGTGGAGCATAGAATTCTGTAGTTTTTGAATTAATTATCTTTGTATTTCTGACTGTGCGGATCGCCTGACATTTGGTGATCTGAGCTTGAGTCCGGGTTGGGAAGGTGTTATGTAGGAAAATATTCCCTAAACCCGAGGAGATGCAAGCAGGGATATGGTAAGTAATTCCTCTAGATACCAGAGGCTGGTGAACGACTGATTTTTTGGGGAAAACCATGGCTGCAAATTCACATGTAGCTGTTGTAATGTTTGCACTTGATCAAGCAAAAGTTATACTGCCTACTGTACCCAAATTTATGATGCAGATGTGCTGTTTGTGGGCAGGTCGTGGCAAAGTTGTCAGTAGGCGTGGCAATTTTAAAATCAATCCATTAACTATACATATAATTGCTATAGAATTAATGGGCTTGAGTTCAGTTTTAGTGGGTTAAGATAGTTAATAGTTGAATTCATTAAACCAGACATATAAATGGGGTAACAAGTATACGTGAAGCACGAAAATGCACGAGTCTCCTTGAAGAACAAATCAAAGGTAAAGAAAGATGAGAGTGGGTTTCTAATTGTTCTGCTTGGGTATGGGCTTGTCTGGCCCCCTTTGCTGGTTGAGGCTCGGTCTTTGACTACGCTTGCCTCTACTTTTCATGTCAAGCTTACAAGTGTAGTTTGGTGAGATTGACTTCTAAAAACAATATTAATTTTCGTCTCTTCTGCAAGGCCATGTATAAGCTGACTTTCAATTCATGGTTATGCACGGCACAAACTTGGCTAGACTTCATTATAAGACAAATGGGTCATGTATGAGTTGAGCAAATATTGACATAGTACGACTTAGAGATGCCACGAATTTGACACGACGTAACTTATTGACAACTAAATGCAAAAATGTTCTAAATAGTTGCTTACAGAAGACCCTTCACTTGCTTGTGCCCTGGTTGTTGCATGGGTGATTTTTTGTAATAGTTTGAGATAGCTTGTATTAGTGTGCACTTGAATGAGATTCTTGAAAAGAGGAACGAAGTCAAAAAAGGGTTGGAAGTGTTCTCGGCTTATCCCTTTCGAAGTTTAAGTCAATCAGAGTTCAAAACTGAGAGGATAAGTGTACAGTACAAATGTAATTTAGCATGCATACATATGTTTTATTTCATTGAAGTAGTTATACCTTCATATGATTACATAATATCCACTTGAGTACCCAACTTAGACTTAATAGCCTACAGTCATTTAGCAACGCAATAAATGCTCCTTGTCATGCATCATTAATGCTCAGTGATTGGACAGAGTCGGGGGTGGATGCTCGGAAGTAACCGAGCATTTATGGCTTCCCGCCCCATAGATACCAAGTCATCTCGAACATCAAGTGTTCTCATCAAATACTCACAATCTATTGCCAAGTATTTGAGGTTACATGCCGAACATTTAACTGGATACCCCTAAGGGCTATTCACCGTTAAGAGTCATGTCTTATCTTTTTGGTGGCTCAATGTGAGTCTCTTGCTGATGAGGTGTCAATAATTGCTTGTCACATTAGCACTCTGCATGAGGCGCACGTCCCAATGAAATTTAATCTTAGGGTCAGTTGTTCACATTGGCCCCCATTAGTGCATTTACTTGGCCCAACGGTTGCTAGCCTCTCGGCCTCAACTCATGGGAACCGGAAAGACACATTTGCTTGTGGAGATATGCCACGTGTCATCTTGCGATTGACAAGCCGCCCACATTAGTTATAATCAATTGGTGATGGCACGATAGTGTAATGTGGGTTGAACTAGAGAGACCATCTTTGCAAATGTTAATTGGAGGTTGAACTCTAACCTTGACTTGATCAATTTTTATTAAATCATTTAATTTCAACCTTGATTTCTTCCTTTTAATCGATCTAAGTTAAACGGTAGCAAATAGGGATGTCAGTTTTGACTCGTTGATACGAACACGACACAAATGATTATAAAATTAACTTGGTTATTAAATACACATAATAAATAATTTAAATTAATATTTAATACTTAGAATACATTAAATAAATTTTTTTTAGGTGGGTCTTAACACGAGCATGACACAAATAAAAATGACACAACACAAATAACACGACATGCAGGTCACACAAACACGACATGCAGGTCACACAAACACGACACTATTGACACCCCTGGTAACAATCATTGTTGCTGTGGAAGACAAGGTATGACAATAGCACATGGGAAGCAAAAATAATAGCAAAGCCACATAGACTCATCAACATGATCGACTATAGAGCCACAATTTTGAAGGTTTTTTTTTTGAGGTTTTATTTTTAAGATTGTGAGAGACGGTAATCGAATATTTTATCTTACCCTAACTACGACAATCAAATTCGAATCTTCACATCCGTTCCTTCATAGCCCACTTTTGTTAAGAAAACAATGAATCAAATCTATAGATAATTCTCAATAAACAACTACATGGCTTCTTAATATGATTTTCACAAAAAAATAAAGTCCCTTTAATATAAAAAAACTATCGATTTGTCGTGAAATATCCTCTTAAGTTTTTCTCTAAGAGTTCGAAGCAAGAAAGCCCCCTCAAGGATGGAATATTCTAAATCAAGAATGTCCGATGATGATTTATACTTCCAATCTGAACAATGCCGATATTTCTTATACTTATGGGAGAGTGCAACACCTTTCAAAGGGAGAAATTCTCAAATTAACTTTTTCTCTAGATTACATCATCTAATTCTAGTTGCCTACATCGATTGGCTTGTGAATTCACGAATTCACATAATCTCTTTTGGTTGAAAAATTCTTAATCTACATAAGTGGCATTCTTGCTTTGGGATATAGTTGGATGGGATTGGAGGGTCCTTTCCAACCCCTTACATCTCTACCGGTTAGGATGGTTTTGTATAATGATATACTCCTATTTTATACCATGTTTGTTTTAATTGTTGTATCACATATGGACCCCACAAAAAAGTGATATTTCACAGAGAATCAAACTAGAATTGACCGTGTATTCTTTCTAATGCATTCTAACATGTGGATCATAAAAGATGAATATTTCCATGGACTTGGTAGTTATTTTGTGACTTAATACTGTTGTATTTTTTTTTATTCAGCAGTCAGGGATATCTGACCTAACTTACGTGTATTTTAACTAATCTTTTTCACGGTTTGGTCAAAAATAAGTCATCCACACCGAAACTAAGATATTCATGAAAGATAAACCTCTCATGACATATTCTCAATAATTCTTCCTACGTGTCTATGCTATTACAATAGTGTCTGAGTGGATAGTAAATTCAAGCAATTTGAACCAGTCCAAGAAAATCAAACACGTTATTAGATGTTACCAAAACTATTTTTTTTTTTTTTTTATATCCTGCAAATCTGGGGCTTCTATTACAATACCTTTGTGAACTTTTTAAAAGCATTTGGCTTGCAAAGGGAAGAATTGTCTCGCATTTTTTACTCTAGATCATCACCATCTGACTCGAGTGTTATGAAAATAAAAATTCACTATAGTGAAATTGTTTTATAGATAGATATAGAGCGAGAACTAGAAGAAACAAGATTGTTTTAGATACTCAAATAAGAATTTCACTATCATTGAAAAGTTTGTACAGAAACAAATAGAGAGAGGGGGAAGAAATGCGTGGTTTTGCAGAATGAAAAAGGAATTTTGCTATCTAATTCACTAAAATTGACTAGTGAAATAACAATTTTGGTAATTGCCATCTTTATTTTAAAATATTGAAAACATAAATCATATATCTCTTGATTTTAGAGTCTTAAGCAAAATTAAAGCTATAAAAGAATATTATTGTTGATGATGAAAAATAACAGACGTCAAATTCTTTTACATTATGTTCAACACATTTACAACACGATTTTTTATGACACGATTCTGTTACATTTGACACGATGACAATGAATTCAGATATGAAAACACATGAGAATAGGGATGACAATAGACCGGGTAAAAATGGGTATTCATCCAAACTCATCTCGTTTGAACCGAGAATAGACTATACGTATTAGAAGGTGGATGCATACGGAGATACCCGTATAAACTCGTGCGGGGATGAACTGACACTTACCCTCGCCCCGGTTTACCCATTACTATTATTATTTTATATATATACATGTTGTTGTGAATACAAATTTATATATTATTAAATAATTTTTTCTTTTGAAAATTGTTTTGTTTTTTGACCTTTTTTTTTTTCATGTTTTTGGCTTGTAAAAGTGTAGATTTTTGTATTTTTACATTTTTTTATATTAAATTATGTTATGTTACATTATGTTGTGTTATATTATATTGTGTTGGATTTAAATGAGAGACAAACTTTTAATTATATTATGTTGTAAAATTTTTTTTAATTATATTATGTTAGATTATGTTGTAAATGATAAACTTTTAATTATGTTATGATATTCTATAATTATATTGAATTATTTAAAATGTCAAATTTATTTAGAATTTTGAATTATGTTGACTTCGGTTTGGACAAGTAAGGTGGACTAGGGTGGGGGTGAAGGATTACAAATCTACCCATTAACAGGAGTAGATCAAGGATGAACAAAAATTTTTTAAATGGGTACGAAGATGAAAACTACACCTTCCGTCCCTGCTTCGATCAACTGCCATGCCTAGAAGAGAACTAATAAGTAAGCATGACGTGTCCTTTGGGTCTTAAAAACATACATCACTACAAGAATTATGCCAAAAACCGGAGTTTATAAACGTCGACAAATGACACAGTAAACACTAATAAATGTTAAATGAGACGATTGCGCTTAGCAT